AGATTTCTCAATTTCAGTTAGCAATAAACAAAGAGTGTAAGCCGGTTCTTTGACTTAAGATCATCACGATGTAGCCCAAATTTGTCTGCACCCATAAGCAAATGTCACCTTCTACAGGGTTTGATAACTATCAAACAGAAACAAGAGTCCTGTGTTTATTTTCTCTCTTTCTCAATGACTCAAAAGGAGTCAAAAATCAATTGTTGGCATCCTACTGATTGTAGGTTTATTAATGAGATTGATCAAGAGAACCTTCCTGCACTCAAACTAGATTAGCAAAATCTCATGAAGGAGAGGAAGCAAGAGTTTTATTCAAGTTTCTAAATCCAGGGGAAATGTATCAATGGGTTATTCTGCTCTCTTTTAGTTGTCATTGTATCATTTTCTGGGGCAGTGGCTAGAAAGCTGACTCATTCTTAGAAGTGTGTGAACAAATCAGCGTAACTCTTCAAAAATTAAAATACGGTAGATGTGGAAAAATCTTAAAATAATGGAAACACTCAGCCAGTCAGGAAGCATCTGTTGAGACAAAAATACAGTTAATGCCAACAGATGAATGACCTAATAACGTATATTTTTCTAAATTTCAGAAGAATTCTTTATACTTTCCTCTGTGGCCTCTAGCCAGCACTGATCTAGCAGCATAGCCAAATCTGGAATACTTGGGGTATAGACACAATACAGTTTTCATACTGACAGAACGAAACATTCTCAATATCATAACATTCTCAGCTCTAGGCTTATATCAAGATAAGCAATGCCAAGCATACACTACAAAATCAAAAAGGCAGGATTTGAGAGATATTAATCTTATCTAGGTTCAGGTGACATTCAGAAACTGTTAAAGCTTTGTTCTTTTTGTTTTATGATGCAGCTCATGATGCAATCAGACTACTGCCTTACACCAGACTCATGATGTGTATTTGTTGCTCTACAACTGTGGGAAGAATTGAAACCAGCTGTCCAGCAAAGTAGAATTATGCTTTCCAGCAAAGTGGAATTATGCTTTCCTTCAGAGGAATTCCAGCACAAATGAAACTCTGCAAATAACAATAGTAAAAACTATATGAAGTAGCAGATTTTGCAATCTTTTGTGAAGCATCCTACACAGAAAGCATTAGCCTTTGACATTACAGGCCTTTGTACTTCAATTCATTATCAGACTGAATGGCTCACTGACATTTCATTTTTTGAAGTGACGATCCGACTCTAAAAGAGACAACAGTTCAACCAAAAAGATAAAATGCACAACTTACTAGCTGCTTGTTAAAAAAAAAACATTTGCAAAAACAGGTTTGGGAGGACTGTACTGCAAACTGCCACAAAAACCCAAGTGAAAAAGGTAGTTAATATATTCTAAGATTTCAATTTCCATAGTGGCACACTTATCTCTCAAATTCTTTGATAAAATGGGATAAATGCCTTAAAATCAACATCCATCCAATCTAAAAGTACAATTAAACTTTCATTTTCTAAAGTCTTAATAGGGTTGGGTGGCAAAACAGGTAGGGGTTGGAAGAAGAAGAGAACATGGGTTAGTAGGGAATGAAAAGATGGATATCAGCTGGGATCTTACAGAGGTGACAGGGGACCTGGCTGCCAGATGGACAGTAAGCACGTGCACTGCATCACCCTCCCGTCTGATTAAATAACTCCCAACACTAAGCTCGCCATGGCAAAAAGCAGAATATTCCAATGATCATGTCAAGATAAGAGAGATGACTGAAAACAGTACCATGTGAATAGTTTTGGGAAGGTTTGTTTTAGAATTGGATATAGGTTTTAGAAAAGGAGGAAGTTCCAGAATATGAGCTGAGGCAACTGATGGACAAAAAGCATGAAAAAGCAATTATGCAGAAGACACATGTAGATGACACTAAGGAGACTAAAAGAGAAGGAACACCAATATGGAGCATGTTGCAAAAAGGGCATTGAAAAGCTCTGAAAATTCAATGCCTCGAAGAACAGAAATTTAATGCATATTAATGAAATAGCTCATGTGATGAGGACGGACAATTGCTGAACTTGATAGGCATGGGCATATTGGAAACAGAAAGATGGTAACTTGACAAGGGTAATGTTGAGAGAATGAATCAAATCATTTCAGCAACAGTGGTGGGGAAGGGAGAGAAGCAATGATGTAGGTAGACTGCGTTGTGAAACAAAGCAATCTTACAATGAAGACAAGGATGTGGGCTTTGAATGTCAAAACTGAATCAAATAGTGTACTTTTCATGACTTAAGTGCACCCAAAACACTTTACAGTCAAAGCAGTACTTTCTGAAGTAGTGAAATGTAATATGATAACCAATTTGACAACCAGCAATGAGAGAATGACCAAAATTATCTGGCTTGATGATATTGGATGAGACACAAATTGTGATCAGGATTCTGTGGAAGCTTGCTTGTTCTTCTTTGAAATGGTGTCACAGAATATTTCAGATCTTCTTAAGTGGTTAGTCAGGACCTTTGTTTGACATTGCATCTGAAAGGCGGCATGTCATACAGTACAATCTGATGTACACATTCAAGTCACCGTAGCTTTACTTAAGCCCAATATCTTCTAATAAAGAGATGAGAATGCTACTATTAAGCCAAGGTTGACAAAGGATTCACGAAGCCAGGATGAGATTACATGGGAACTTGAGAGTTAAGGGAGATTAGAGATGAAGAGGTAGTTGGATCCAGTCAGTACTAGACTTTTTTTTGGTGGGGTGGGGCGGAAGCGGCAGCGGCGGGCGGGCGGCTGTTTGGGGGTAGCCGGGAGGAAAGGAACTGATGTGACAGCTAATTTGTGGCTTGACTAGGGAAAGAGATATGGCTCAAGCAAGTGTATTCATCAATTTACTTCAGCCAAGAAAGGTGATCAAAAACTGTCAGGATTGGAGAGTAGAAGGAATCAGATAAAGTGGCTATGAGCTCATGGAAATACGGTTGGATAGGTTCGAGCAGGAGTGTGCAGGAGAAGCAGTAGCAGCAGATCTAGTGCGGAACGGTGTGTCTCTGGCCTTCCATTGATGTAAATCAAATTTAGAAAACCTTCTGAATTTTTGCAACAATTTTTTTTTTGAAAGCTCATTCCTGCACAAGTAATTATTATCATGGTTTCAAAGTTCAGGCAGTGACGCACATCACCTACATTCACTGACAGTCACTTTTAGCAGGGACCCATTGCCAAACCTCTCATCTATCATTTGCCTGCACCATTCACAACAGAAGCATAGAAACATTTCCCACATGTACGTTAATTATGCCTAGCTTTACTCCTTTATTATTACCGCCATAAACTCTTCTGCAGTACTTGCCCAACATCAAACTCCATTTAAAAAACAAATCTGATTAGTCAAAATTTCCTCTGGTTTATTATCATCCACCAATTTTAGTTGTCACCGCTTTCACATGTTTCTGAACCGATTCCATTGCCTTATTTGCTATCCAGGCTGAAGTCAATTTGGTACAAGCATGACTTTTTGTTTGACCTGAGCATTTTACTTCACAAGACCCACTGCTGTAACACAAAATTAAAAGGAGCATTACTGCTGGGCCCTCTTGGGTGCAGCGTTGGTGTGCAGATTAAAAAAAAGTTAAAAGGGCTTTCTGAAATACTCCTGTACCAACGGCAATATCTTAAAATCACTTCTAAAGTTCTCTTTTAAAATAAAAAAAAAGCAGGAAACACTCACCAAGAATGGTAGTAGCTGTTGAAAAAACAGCAGTTTCAGCATTTAACTTTTTGTAAATACTAATCCTGAGGAACAGCCAAAGGCTTGAAATATCACCTGCATATACTGAGAGGCTTGCTGAGTCTTTCCAGCCCTTTAAAAATTTTTAGAATCCTTGTGTCTGGAATATTGCTTTGTTTTTTTTTTGTACAACACTCTGTGCTACCCTGTTTTTTTCCAAATGTTAGCTATCCCAGAACTTCACAATACATGCATTCTGTGTTATGCCCATCATCTCAGTTCTTCTCATTCCAAAATGATTTAACAATCCTAAACTTAATGCTCTAATGGCTTTGCTCCAATCTCTGAGCAATTGTTCCAAGTCACAAAATCCACTGAATTGCAGCTGGACTTTACTACTGGAGCCTGATCAGTTGAACTATAGAAATACAGAAAATAGGATGGGCAAGCCATTGGCTCATCAAGCCCACTTTGCAACTCAACATGATCACAGCTGATCCTCTAGCTCAACACCTTACTCTCACTCCATACCCTTTTACTTCTTTAACTTCTAGAAATCTACTTTAATATATTCAGTGACTTGGCTCCTCAGCCTTCTGTGGTAGAGAATTCCACAAGTTCTCTTTCAGTGAAGAAATTTCTCATCTCAGTTCAAAATGGCTTTCTGCATATCCTGAAACGGTGACTCCTTGTTGCAGTTCCTCAGCCAGGGCAAACATCATTGCCGGATCCAGGCCATCAGAATTTGTACATGCTTCAATGTGAAACCCTCTCATTCTTCTAAACCCCAGTGAATACAAGCTCAGTTGCCCCAATCTCTCTTCATACAATAAACCTGCCACCCCAGAAGTCAGTCTGCTGAACCTTCATTGCACTCTCTTTTAGGTAAGGACATCAAAACTGCACACAATACTTCAAGTATAGTCTCATCAAGGTCCTGCACACCATAGCATGTGTTCCTTTCTCCTGTACTCAAACCCACTTGGAATAACGACCAGTATGCCAAATAACTCAGTAATGTTCGCCCGAGAACCAAACTGCCTTTTTCTCCATTCCTCAAAATTTTCTTGTTAATGACTATTGTTGTTACTTGCAGTTTCAATTATTGCAGAAATTACAGGCATTAACAAACAAAAAAAAAAGCATTCGGCAACTATCCTCTATCACGTGTGAAATTGTACTTCTGTTCACAGTCTTTTCAAGTCTCATTTGTCATGAAGTTTAGTTCTCTTAAATAAACAGTTCATTTTCATATTACATGAGTAGCACCAATCTTCATTAATTTTGTGCTAGAGATTAGAGGCAAACCGAACTTACCTTTTTCACCTTGATGTTAGATCAACTACATACATTTACTCCATAAACTGTCATCAAGTTATACTGATGAGCCCCAAAGCAGTATGCATTTTCTACTTCGACAAAGATGCCTGAACTTGGCTTAGTATCCTGATATCCCACAGGTAATACTGGAACAAAGAAAAAACAACGACACAGTAAATGACAATTATAGATTTTGTTTGATATGTCAGATTGAGAGAGATTCCTGCCCTTTGCCTTTCCTTCTTGCCAACATTGTTACAGCTCTAAAAGTAAAGAAAAATTCAGAACAACGTCTCCAATGTTTAACTTTTCACTATGATGAAAAGTACCAATTAACACCAAGATACATTTCTTCTTAAACAAAATTCCTTGTTACTCCAAACTGGTTGATCTTGGCCTGGGCATTTTGTATGTATACACGCTAGCTGCTGTTCAAACTAAAGTGCTGGAGAAGCTCAGCAGATCTGGCAGCATCTGGAGAAAGAAAGAGTTAACATTTTGAGTTCAATTTTAGTCTTCTTCAGAAGTGAAGTTCTCAATACTTTAGAACTTCGTTCTGAGGAAGAGTCACATTGGACTTGAAGCAAACTGTTTCTCTCCACAGTTGCAGCCAGAGCTGCTGAGATTTTTCCAGCATCTGCAGTATTTTTTTAAAGCATTTGTACTGCATAATTAACATGGTGACTTGTTCCAACATGCTTAAAAGAAGCATCAAACAATAATTTGACATCAAATCATAAAAAGTAAACACTAGGGTAGGTTCCCTAAAGATTGGTCAAAGAGGAGGTGCCTTAAAAAACTAATACTGCACAAAATAGTAGCATTGATAGGTAAAGCGCAAATCGAGATGGAGATGAGACCCTTCGGTCCAACTCATCCGCACTGAGCAGGCATTCCAATGTGATCCAGTCCCATTTGCCAGCATTTGGCCCACAACCCTCTAAATCCTTCCTATTCATGTACCCACGCAGATGCCTTTTAAATGTTGTCATTGTACCAGCCTCCACCACCTCCTCTGGAAACTCATTCCATACACACATAACCTTCTGCATGAAGAAAAGGCCCCTCTGCTCCCTTTTAAATCTTCCTTCTTTCACTTCAACCTGTGCCCTCTGATTTTGGACTCACCCATACTGAGAAAAAGACCCTGCTATTCACCCTATGTCCTTCATGATTTTATAAACTTCTATAATGTCATCCCTCAGCGTCCGATGTGCCAGGGAAAGATGCCCCAGCTTATTTGCCTCTCCCTACAACTCAAACCTTCCAGTCCTGGGAAATCCTTGTAAATAGTTTTTGCACCTGCTCAAGTCTAACAACATCCTTCCTATAGAAGGGCGACTAGAATTGTACACTGTACTCGAAAAGTGGCCTCACCAATATTCTGTACAGCCATAACATGACTTCCCAACTCCTATACTCAATGTTCTGACCAATGAAGGCAAGTACATCAAATGCCTTCTTCACCAACCTGTCTACCTGTGACTCCACTTTCAAGGAACTATGCACATGAACCCCTAGTTCTTTGTTCGGCAACACTCCTCAGGGTCCTACCGTTAATTGTATAAATTTTGCCCTGGTTTGCCTTACCAAAATGCAATACTTCACATTATCTAAATTAAACTCCATCTGCCACTCCTCGGCCCATTGGCACATCTGATCAAGGTCTTATTTGTACTCTGAGATAGTCTTCTTCACTGTTCACTACGCCACCTACTTTGGTGTCACCTGCAAACTTACTAACCTTACCTCCTATGTTCTCACGCAAATCATTTATATAAATGATGAAAAGCGATGGATCTAGCACTGATCCTTGTGGCACACTGCTCGTCATAGGCTTTCAGTCCGAAAAACAACCCTCTGTCTGAGTTTTCAAGAATAGTTATTATTTGTGACAAAGTATAGGATTTGATGAATGGGAAAGAGAAGCTAGCGAAAAAAAAACAGAAAGAACAGTTCCTACTCAGAAGGAAAGTGTACGAATGACATCCAGAATTAAGTCTCCTTTGATGAATTTTATAATTGCCAGAATACCACAAGATTAAATGGCATAAAACACTAACGCCTACAATATAGAAAAATACCAACTGTGAAGAGTAATTATTTCACAAATGCAGTTGTGCAGTCAATTTGTCAGACCTATAATCTAGCAGGCCTGCTAATTCATCATGATGTGAATTCACACAGTAATTTGATTATAAGCAATACAGAAAATACACAATAACAGATTTCAAATTATTTGATACATCATGCAACCACACAGAAACACATGCATTAGCTCCACAAAACATTAAAATTATGGGGGTGGTTACAGGAATTATATTCTCAATATTATGGATTTATACCAAGACTATAAATAATAGGCAATGATAATACATATTTATAATACTTAGTAATACTGTTTCATCTACCCAGGAAAGCACTATTCCCCATTGGTAATATAATAAATTGAAGAAAACATGCTTTAAAGCACAAATGATACAGGCTATGCAATGTTCAACAGTTCCTGTCTGTTGAAAAGAAAGTTTACAGTTGGCATTAACAATAAGGGTCATTAAAGCAAAGTGCGTGTTAAATCAAACTACAAATGGAACTCAATCGATCACTTCCACAATGCCTTATTGATAAAGCACTTCAAAGAGTTACTGGAAACTTTATATTTATGCACTTTGTACAATAGTTTGTAAGGCCATTCAGCTCATCGAATGGCAGAACAGAATCAATGAGATCATGGCTGATCTGATAATCCTCAACTGCACTTTCCTGTCTTTTCCCAATAACCGGTCCTTACCGATTAAAACTTTAACTCTGGTCTTTAACGTACTTAATGACTCAGCCTTGAAAGCCTCATTGCTAAAGAATTACGTAGATTCAATGTCCTCAGAAGAAAACTCTTCTCATATCCATCTTAAACATGCAACCCCTTATTGTGAGATTATGCCCTTTGGTCCTAGAATCTCACTTAAAAGGAAACAACCCTTCCACATCTATCCTGTGAAGTCCCCTAAGAATCTTGTATTTTTTTAATAAAGTTACCTCTCATTCTTCTAAATTTTGAAGAGTACAGGCCTAACCTACTCAACTTCACTTCATAATACAGTGCCCCCACCCCCATGATCTGCTCATGATTAGCTCTGTTTTTTTCAGATCTCCAGCATTCAGTTTTTTGTTACTAATTATTGGAATACAGCTTCTTTCATTTCTTGAGTTGCTTTCGAGACAATGGGCTGGATTTTACCAGATGAGTCATCATCCTAAATGTGGGTCATTTATAGCTTGTGCAGCCTCATAGGCAGAACTTCTTCAGCAATCTTCCAACATGCAGTTAATTTGCTATCATATTCATGCTGACTGGAAGCTAAGTGCTGGAGCAGATGAATGGGGTCATCACTGCTCCAGCCAGTTCCCATAACAGCAACTGGGATACAACTACCATTGCTCAACTTCATGCAGATGCCAAGGATAGGAATCACTAAAATGGCAGAGTCTTAAGGTACAATGTAAAACGTATAGGCATCTATCAGTATTCTCTTGAGCTGTTGCTCTGACATTTGTATGTGCGTGTATGGTGTAAGAGTCTAATCGATACCGTAATTGAGCCATGCCTCTGTGTTAGCATCTGCACAGTCACATCTACATCCATCGAGAGTGCTGCAAGTCTCATGGAAAGAGAACACTTGCAGTAGTCCATACAGCGAAGGCAGAAGTTATGCATTTGTCTTGACCATATGGTTTCATTCTTGATTAGCATTGAGCATTGGGTGGGTAAGATGAACCAGAGAAGAACAGACCAGTTGTCAGGTGGTCATACTCCAGTTAAACAGGATCAAAGTGCCAACATCCGAAGGCTATGGTAGCTCTTTGCAGTTCCTCAATTTGAAGCGGAGCCTGGGCCCTTTTCCAGAGATCTTCCGGTAAAAAGGCACCTGACAGCCTTTGGGACTATCATACGATGTATATTAGCTGTAGGCTATTGTGTTCTTGTTCTGCATACCTTAAAATTTAGTGAAATGTATATTTAGGTGGCTCACCTGTCTATTTATACTCCAGTTGACCATGACCAGATATTGAGACATTGAAATGGACAGCAAGAAATTGAACTTTTTGATTTGTGTAGTATTCAACTTTGATTTTTGCCTCTGTACATTGCTGTCAAAAATGTAAATTTAGACAAAGATAGAGGGAGAAATAACTATATCATGGTGAAGATAAACATAATATGTATTTGATTTAAATTAAATATTAATCTAATTATTTTTAGGTGGAATGCTTTCAAATAAAATGACTAGTGTTTTAAAAACAGCTAGAAACAGCTCAAAGCATTCCTGGATGTCATGGTAGAGCGCAAGACAAATGGGGAACTGCAAACGAAAGTACACCATAAAGCCACACACACAGACCAGGTATTGAACTTCAATAGTAACCATCCCAGCGCACACAAACGAAGCTGCGTGCGAACGCTATTTAAAAGGGCAACAACACATTGCAGCAACATGGAACTACGCCAAGAGGAGGAGGAATACCTCTTCCAAGTGTTCAAGGATAATGGATATCCAAAGAACTGGGTCAGGAGATGCCTACAGGAACAGCATCAGAAAGATTCTACACGCCCCGACACACTCATCACACTACCCTACATCAGGAACATGTCAGAACTCACCACAAGACTTCTACGACCACTGGGCATCAGAGTGGCACACAAACCCACATCAACCCTACGACAAGTGCTCACCCGAACTAAAGACCCACTCCCCACCATGGACAGGACCAATGTCATCTACAAGATCCCCTGCAGAGACTGCGAGAAACACTACATCGGACAAACAGGAAGGAAACTAACAACAAAAGTACATGAACACCAACTGGCTACAAAAAGACACGACCAATACTCACTCATCTCAATCCACATGGACAAGGGGAACCACGACTTCAACTGGGACAGGCTAGGCAGAGACAAGCACGAGAATTCCTGGAAGCATGGCACTCCACGAAGCAGGCTATTAATAAACATATTGAACTCGACCCCATATACATTCCACTACGGAGGAAACCCAGAAGTGAGGCAATCCATCGCAACGGACCCCAGGGTTTAAAAACCAAGCGGGAAAACACACCGATGCTTCATCAGAGGCTGCACTGAGGACGTTA